GGCATGGTGACTCATGCTTGTAATCCTAGCACTTTGGGAAGCCAAGGTGAGTGGATCACCTGAAGTCGGGAGTTTGAGACCAACTGGCCAACATGGCAAAACCCCGTCTCTACTAAAAATACAAAAATTAGATGCACTTGGTGGCGCACGCCTATAATGCCAGCTACCCAGGAGGCTGAGGTAGGAGAATAGCTTGAACTCGGGAGGCGGAGGTTGCAGTGAGGCGATATCATGCCACTGCACTCTAGCCTGGGGTACAGAGCAAGACTCCATCTCAGAAACAAACAAACAAAAAAACCAAAATTAGGCTGGGCGTAGTGGTTCACGCCTGTAATCCCAGCAGTTTGGGAGGCCGTGGTGAGCAGATTACCTGAGGTCAGGAGTTCAAGACCAGCCTGGCCAATGTGGTGAAACTCTGTCTCTACTAAAAATACAAAGATTAGCTGGATGTGGTGGCAGGTGCCAATAATTCTGGCTACTTGGGGGGCTGAGGCAGGAGAATCTCTTGAATCGGGGAAGGGAAGATTGCAGGGAGCCAAGTTTTCACCATTGTACTCCAGCCTGGGCGACAAGAATGAAACTCTGTCTCAAAAAACAAAACAAACCAAAAATTAGCCAGGCATGATGGCGCACACCTGTAATCCCAGCTACTCGGGAGGCTGAGGCAGAAGAATTTGCTTCAACCCACTAGGAGGAGGTTGCAGTGAATCGAGATCACGCCGCTGCATTCCAGCCTGGGCGACAGAGCAAAACTGTCTCCAAAAAAGAAAAAAAGTTTTCTTAATGAAAGTCAAGTGCCTCTTTGAAGTTAAATATAAAATATAAACAAATTACATGTGTTTATGGTTGAAATATTTAAAAAATATATTTAAAAAATGGAAATGAAACATTTGCTGGTTTCTAGTAGCTTAGATATAACTATTCTTTAAGAACGCTCTGAGCATATGGCCACACTTGGATGGGAGTTGGAGTTGGGGCAGGACTTGGTGGGGTTTAGTCTGTTTATTGTGGGAATTCAAAACACAGGTAATAAAGACAGTAATTTTTTTTTCTCACTTTTTCCCCCTTGGCAATAATTTAGTTTTATGACAGGAATCCTCATATATCTTTTAATAAGCAAATTGTTCTTTATTTTTTTTCTTTTGAAGATAAGAAATGATGTTTATATTAATCTATCCTTTTGAGAACCAATCAAAAAAAACACGTTTCGTTACACAAAAAGGGGGCTGGTAGGAACCTCATAGATTTCCCTTCTCCTCAAAGTGTTGTAAAAACACATCCTGGCTCATAACTGATTTTTATTATTTTTTATTTTTTTGAGACAGTGTCTTGCCCTGTCACCCTCACTGGAGTGTCCTGGTGCAGTCATAGCTCACTGCAGTCTCGACCTCCCAAGCTCAATTTATCCTCCTGCCTTAGCCTTCTGAGTAGCTGAGACTATAGGTGTGAGCCACTATGCCCAGCTACTTTTTTTTTCTATTTTTTGTAGAGATGGGGTCCTCACTATGTTGCCTAGGCTCCTCATAACTGGCTTTTAATTGTTTATTTGAAACAAATATCCCACAGAATTGTCATATGCCCCATATCCAATTTATTGGATTCTTTATAGTATTTTAAACAAATAATTGATTATACTTCCTTTGAACACTGTTAATGATACAGAAATCAATACCTCTCAAAGCAGCCCATTGAATTTCCAAAATCACTAGTTCTAGTCCAGACGCACATTTTCAAAGATGCCTTCTTTCATTCTGCCCTAGCCAGCCAGGCCTTCTTGAGAGTTTTTTTTTTTTTTTTAAAGTAACCACAGTTTGGACGCAAGCCTCTCTTAACAGGGACAATAGTGGATGAGCTGTCTGGACACTGGTCCTTTGTGGTATCTGCAGTAAAACACACAGCTTCAAACCTGATCTAAATTCTGTTACTTGCAACAGACACTCTTTGATAGCTCAGTGCTCTTCTTATATGAAGGGGAAAGGAGATTGGGGAAGGGAGGAAAGGATGTGTGGCTCCAGTTTATATGCCGGGTTAAAACTTCCTAAAGCTCTTTCATTTTCTTCAGCTATTCACAGAGAACCCTGCTTTGGTAAAAGATACTAGGACTTAATGTCTCCGTGTTTCCCATACCTTCCTACTCCTATAATTTCCACATGATGTTGGTAATACCAGTAGTTATGAGTTTCATAAAGTAGTCACAACTCTTGAGTTGTTTACTGGTAGAATATTAGCATTTAATAAGCACAAATTGTCAGATCTACACAGGATGAGAAATTATTTGGAGCTAAGTTGCTAGTTAGTGTTAAAGTGCCATGGCAGACCTCACCAAAAAAGCAGATTACTATCAAAACCCCTGTAGTTTTAGGAAATATCCCAGTTGTAGGAAGAGAAGGCAGGGCTGTCCAGGTTGACTTAATGTAATTGGATACCAGATAGGGTTTTGAGGTAAAATTCACATAATATAATATTGACCATTTTAAAGTTTACAATTCAGTACCATTTAGTGCATTCATAATCTTGTGCAACCATCACCTTTGTCTATGTCCAGAACATTTTCATCATCTGAAAAGGGAACTCTGTACCTGTTGAGCAGAATCTTCTCATACCCGCCTCCTCCCAGGCCTGGCAGCCACTAATTTGCTTTCTGTGTCTGAGGGTTGGATCTATTCTTGGTATTTCATATAAATGAAATTATACAGTATGTAGTCTTTTGTGTGTGGCTTCTTTCGCTTAGCATTGTGTTTTTGAGGTTTCATCTGTATTGGTGCATGTGTCAGCACTTAATTCCTATTTATGGCTGAATAATAGTCACTTATATGGATATACAATATTTGTATATCCTTTTGTTAGTTGATGGACATTTGGGCAAATGAGGCTTTTTTTTAGATGGAATCTTGCTCTGTCACCCAGGCTGGAGTGCAGTGGCACGATCACGGCTCACTGCAACCTCTGCTTCCTGGGTTCAAGGGATTCTCCTGCCTCAGCCTCCTAAGTAGCTGGGATTACAGGTGTGTGCCATCATACCCAGCTAATTTTTATATTTTTAGTAGAGATGAAGTTTTACTGTGTTGGCCCAGCTGGTCTGGAACTCCTGACTACAGGTGATCTGCCTGGCTTGGCTTCCCAAGTGCTGGAATTACAGGGGTGAGCCACCGTGCCTGGCCGAAATGATGTTTTTTTAGAAGCCATCTTTCCCTTCCACTTTTTTTTGTTGTTGTTTTTCGACACAGGGTCTTACTCTGCTGCCCAGGCTCGAATGCAGTGGTGCGATCACAGCTTACTGCCACCTCAACCTCCTGGGCTCAGGTGATCCTCCCACCTCAACCTCCTCAGTAGCTGGGACTACAGGTATACACTACCATACTCAGCTAATTTTTTTTGTATTTTTAGTAGAGACAGGGTTTTGCTGTGTTGCCCAGGTTGGTCTCGAACTCCTGAGCTCCAGTGATCCTCTCACTTTGACTTTCCAAAGTATTGGTATTACAGGCATGAGCCACCACACCTGAGCCGTTTTATTAATAAAAAGTTTCAAACTTACAGAAAAGTTGAAAGAGTGGAACAGTTAGCATCCATATAAGCACCACTTAGATTTTATAGTTATTAACATTTTGTTCTGTTTGCTTTATTTTACGTTCTCTGTCTGCCCGTCTCTTTTTATCTATAGTCTTTTTTTTTGATGAAGCTTAAAGAGAGTTGCAGACATTACCCTTAACCCCTAAACCTTCCATAGCTTTGCAGTGACAGTGACAGTTTCTGTCCTCATCCACCTGCCATAGTAGAGCCCTGTTGCCCTGAAAAGGCTTTAAGGAGAAGGAGTTCAATGAAGTGACTCTATTCAGCCAGAGCAAATTTCAGACTTAGAAAAAGATTAATAAGAATCATAAGAATCACACTTCTCATTGCCTTTGCCTTCATGGGATTTAGTCACTGCATGCCAGGCAATTTGATGTTTTTCTGCTTTGTTTTTGTCTTTATTTTGGTTTTTAATTGAGACATGTAGCCTCTCTAAGAAACCTAAATCTTAGAGTTTTAAGGACTGCA